GCTTCTGATAGGCTAATTTACATCATTTGAGTCCCATAGGGCGGCGCACAATTGGTCCAGTGTCGTCCAGGTTTGGCCGGTGTAGGCCGTCATTGTAAATAAGAATGTGTTCTTAACTGACTTGCCTAGTTAAATAAAGGTAAAAAAAATAAAATTAAAAAATAAATAAAATAAAATAATTGGAGGTGTACCTCTGGATGTATTTCAAGGCCTACCTTCAAACTCAGTGCCTCTTTGCTTGACATGATGGGAAAATCAAAAGAAATCAGCCAAGACCTCAGAAATAAAAATGGTAGACCTCCACAAGTCTGGTTCATCCTTGGGAGCAATTTCCAAACGCCTGAAGGTACCACGTTCATCTATACAAACAATAGTACGCAAGTATAAACACCATAGGACCATGCAGCCGTCATACCGCTCAGGAAGGAGACGCGTTCTGTCTCCTAGAGATGAACGTACTTTGGTGCGAAAAGTGCAAATCAATCCCAGAACAAAGGACCTTGTGAAGATGCTGGAGGAAACAGGTACAAAAGTATCTATATCCACAGTAAAACGAGTCCTATATCGACATAACCTGAAAGGCCGCTCAGTAAGGAAGAAGCCACTGCTCCAAAACCGCCACAAAAAAGCCAGACTACGGTTTGCAACTGTACATGGGGACAAAGATCGTACTTTTTGGAGAAATGTCCTCTGGTCTGATGAAAAAAAAATAGAACTGTTTGGCCATAATGACCATTGTTATGTTTGGAGGAAAAAGGGGGTTGCTTGCAAGCCGAAGAACACCATCCCAACCGTGAAGCACGGGGGTGGCAGCATCATGCTGTGGGGGTGCTTTGCTGCAGGAGGGACTGGTGCACTTCACAAAATAGATGGCATCATGAGGAAGGAAAATTATGTGGATATATTGAAGCAACATCTCAAGACATCAGTCATGAAGTTAAAGCTTGGTCGCAAATGGGTCTTTCAAATGGACAATGACCCCAAGCATGCTTCCAAAGTTGTGGCAAAATGGCTTAAGGACCACAAAGTCAAGGTATTGGAGTGGCCATCACAAAGCCCTGACCTCAATCCTATAGAAAATTTGTGGGCAGAACTGAAAAAGCGTGTGCGAGCAAGTAGGCCTACAAACCTGACTCAGTTACACCAGCTCTGTCAGGAGGAATGGGCCAACATTCACCCAACTTATTGTGGGAAGCTTGTGGAAGGCTACCCAAAACGTTTGACCCAAGTTAAACAATTTAAAGGCAATGCTACCAAATACTAATTGAGTGTATGTAAACTTCTGACCCACTGGGAATGTGATGAAAGAAATAAAAGATGAAATAAATCATTCTCTCTACTAATATTCTGACATTTCACATTCTTAAAATAAAGTGGTGATCCTAACTGACCTAAGACAGGGGATTTTGACTAGGATTAAATGTCAGTAATTGTGAAAAACTGAGTTTAAATATATTTGGCTAAGATGTATGTAAACTTCCGACTTCAACTGTATATACACTACCGTTCAAAGGTTTGCGGTCACTTAGAAATGTCCTTGTTTTCCATGAAAACATACATGAAATGAGTTTGAAATTGAAATTAGCAAAATGCATAGGAAATGTAGTCATTGACAAGGTTAGATTACAATTACAGCCTTGCAGACTTTTGGCATTCTAGTTGTCAATTTGTTGAGGTAATCTGAAGAGATTTCACCCCACAAATTGGGTTGGCTTGATGGGCACTTCTTACGTACCATACGGTCAAGCTGCTCCCACAACAGCTCAATAGGGTTGCGATCCGGTGACTGTGCTGGCCACTCCATTATAGACAGAATACCAGCTAACTGCTTCTTCCCTAAATAGTTATTGCATCATTTGGAGCTGTGCTTTGGGTCATTGTCCTGTTGTAGGAGTAAATTGGCTCCAATCAAGCACCGTCCACAGGGTATGGCATGGCGTTGCAAAATGGAGTGATAGACTTCCTTCTTCAAGATCCCTTTTACCCTGTACAAATCTCCCACTTTACCACCACCAAAGCACACCCAGACAATCACATTGCGTCCACCATGCTTGACAGATGGCATCAAGCACTCCTCCAGCATCTTTTCATTTGGTCTGCGTCTCACAAATGTTCTTCTTTGTGATCCGAACGCCTCAAACTTTGATTCATCTGTCCATAACACTTTTTTCCAATCTTCCTCTGTCCAGTGTCTGTGTTATTTTGCCAATCTTAATCTTTTATTTTATTGGCCAGTCTGAGATATGGCTTTTTCTCTGCAACTCTGCCTAGAAGGTCAGCATCCCGGAGTCGCCTCTTCACTGTTGACGTTGAGACTGGTGTTTTGCGGGTACTATTTAATGTAGCTTCCAGTTGAAGACCTGTGAGAAATCTGTTTCTCAAACTAGAGACTCGTAATGTATTTGTCCTCTTGCTCAGTTGTGCACCGGGGCCTCCCACTCCTCTTTCTATTCTGGTTAGAGCCAGTTTGCGCTGTTCTGTGAAGGGAGTAGTACACAGCGTTGTACGAGATCTTCAGTTTCTTGGCAATTTCTCGCATGGATTAGCCTTCATTTCTCAGAACAAGAATAGACGAGTTTCAGAAGAAAGTTATTTGTTTCTGGCCATTTTGAGCCTGTAATCGAACCCACAATTGCTGATGCTCCAGATACTCAACTAGTCTCAAGAAGGCCAGTTTTATTGCTTCTTTAATCAGCACAACAGTTTTCAGCTGTGCTAACATAATTGCAAAAGGGTTTCCTGCTACAATAGCCGTTTACAACATTAACAATGTCTACACTGTATGTCTGATCAATTTGATGTTATTTTAATGGACAATTTTTTTTTCTTCTTTGAAAACAAGGACATTTCTAAGTGACCCCAAACTTTTGAACGGTAGTGTGTGTATATATATATATATATATATATATATATATATATATATATATATATATATATATATACATTTATGACCTGGGTGACTGGATGGTAGGAAGCTTGGCCCCATTGATATACTGGGCCGTATGCACTACCCTCTGTAGCACCTTACGGTCAGATGCCGAGCAGTTGCCATACCAGGCGATGATGCAACCGGTCAGGATGCTCTCGATGGTGCAGCTGTATAACTTTTTGAGGATCTGGGGACCCATGCTAAATCTTTTCAGTCTCCTGAGGGGGAGAAGGTGTTGTCGTGCCCTTTTCACGACTGTCTTGGTGTGTTTGGACCATGATAGTTTGTTGGTGATGTGGACACCAAGGAACTTGAAACTCTCGATCTACTCCAGTACAGCCCCATCGATGTTAATGGGGGCCTGTTTGGCCCTCCTTTTCCTATAGTCCACGATCAGCTCCTTTGTCTTGCTCACGTTGAGGGAGAGGTTGTTGTCCTGGCACCACACTGCCAGGTCTCTGACCTCCTCCCTATAGGCTGTCTCATCGTTGTCGATGATCAGGCCTACCATTGTTGTGTCGTCAGCAAACTTAGGAAGTCCAGGATCCAGTTGCAGAGGGAGTTGTTTAGTCCCAGGGTCCTTAGCTTAGTGATGAGCTTTGTGGGCACTATGGTGTTGAACGCTGAGCTGTGGTCAATGAACAGCATTTTCACATAGGTTTTCCTTTTGTCCAGGTGGGAAAGGGCAGTGTGTCTTTCCCGTTTTTTTTTAGAGTTAGGCTATTGCATTTTCTCACAGGTGTGAAGAGATAACTCGATCCGGTGGAATACGACGATACAAGCGCTTATTTCAGAGAGCGCTCCTTAAGCCACGCCCCAGCCTCTGATTTTACAGTGGGTCCGCCATGGTTCTGTGCAGTCTAGTTATGCTAATATGTTTTCAGTTAATTTCGTCTTTGACTTAATAAGTCAAATATCTTTGAGTAGTAAACAGTTAAACAACAACGAGTCGCAGAGAGTTCGTAATAGAACATACCAGAGGGGGCGTAGTTTACTAGGCTACCTAAATGATTGGGATCATCTGGTTACCACAAATCTTTGGAATACATGGAGCTCGTTGACAAAACAGACCATGGAACGCCTTTTCACACGAAGGTCTGCAGTGGGTCTGTGTAAATTATGCCATTATATTGGAGACAGGTTTATAGCAGTGAATGTCATCTATTAATTTACTCTTATAGTATTTCTAAGTAGAAGCCATATCAGCCAGGGAAACTAATTGTTCTCACTTTATGATAGAACATTCAGATTTGTCTGCCTGACTGTGGGGCTCTTTACCTGAATTATTAGGATTTTCCTGTGATCACAACAAAATTACTTATTTTGCTCAAATAGAGATATAATTAAATTGTGTTTTCTTCGAAAAGATAGGCCTGAGAAAAGAACATTCAAACAATGACCTCTAGTGACCATAGTTGGAACAGCACCTTAGTCAGTAGAGTTCAGGTAGCAGCTATACAAATGTCATGTAATTTAGTGTAAAAATACACATTCAGTTTTGTCAACAATAAATGATCATGACCAGATTGTGTAGCTAAAGAGACCGCCATTGGAGTTTAGGAATTGGAAACAGAATTGTGTGATTCACAACTCCCACACAGTCATTCTGGAAAGGAATCTATAGAAGCTTGTATCCATGAAGGAAAACTAGATACTGAAAGTGCTATGCTAGGTACCAGTACTTTTTGCCATATAGAGATCCCCTCTGCTTTGATCCCATCTGCTAGAAATCCTCTACTCTCCGCATGCGCACACACACACACACACACACACACACACACACACACACACACGTATCTGGTATCACTCGTACCACTGGGCTGTGTTTGTGTGCTTGTGAAGTAACAAAACTGGAGCCAGAGTGACAAATATAACAAATAAGATACCAATCTTTGGAAAGTTTTAATACAAATGTAATAACTAATTTCTATAATTGTTCATCATCATGAATTAAGACAGATAAGTAGTAGCACATATTAGTGTCCAGTTTCACCACAGGGGACACAGTGTAGTCTCAGTCATTGATCAGTAGCTAGTCCTCTGGCTTGCAGGCGAGCATGAAGAAATACCTTACTCCAACCACAAGCTCAGTCTCTGGGGAGGTCACCCCCATCACAGCCAACAGTCTGGAGAGGAGAGACAGAGAATGAGAGAGGGGGAGGGAGGGATGTGAGATGTAACATGAAATGTTACCTTTACATTTTTGACCAGCATCAACTAGGGATTGTGTCAGGGACCAACCTGTGGGTGATATCAGTTGACAGTCTGCTGGCCTCCTCTGGGTCTTTCTTTAGTAGAGCCTGGTAGCTGGAGAAGGACTCTATCATACCAATGTAGCTGGACAGAGACATGGACCTCTTCACCAACATACACTCCTGCCTAACAACACAGCATTAGCATTACCTTAGAGTAAACTCAACCCATCTTATACATCAAATCAAACACTTCTTGTAAGTACATAGGTAATAGCAACGAGGGCAGTGGATGTATCCGAGCTCAGGCCTCACCACTCTTTCTCTGTGTAGGGGATGGAATCGTAGGACTCTTTGTAAAGAGCCACAGAGCAGGGGCCCAGGCACGGGTTACGATAGGGCAGGAGTGCAGCATAAAACTGATGAGATCAAAAATAAAATAAAATAAAAGGCCAATTTTTGAATTTTGTATGTGATCGACTTATCATTATGTGTTTGGATAATATACTTTTATTCTATTTTATAGAGCTTCCAGACCTCCTTGCAGACTGTGTTGAGGTTGTGGTAGCAGTCTCCATAGTGAAGCTCCATGTCCATGGTGTAGTTGAGTAGAGCCAGGCAACCTTTAGGCTTCAGGATCCTGTGGGCTTCCTGGAGGAACCGCGGCCGGTCAAACCAGTGGAAGGCAGACATGGCCGTCACCAGGTCCACTGACCTGTCTGCAAACGGCAGCTCCTCAGCCCGGCACTGTCTACACAGAGACACAGAGACAAGAGACATACTATCACAGGGATACATACATACAAACATATCCACCAGACTGGTACCAGATCAGTTAGTGCTTTCTTGCCAACTCCTAAGGTTATGGTCACAATATTAGTTGACAAAACAGCACTAACAAATCTGGAACCAGACTACAATTCACACACAACGTTGTGTTTTGGTTTGGTTCCTTGGATATGGCTCCCTTCATTCAATCCTAACTGGGAACATCTACTGTACATGTAGATGTGTTCCAGAACAGTATTAGTAGCTGTAGCTTTTATGTTTTCTCACTAGAGTTTGAGCAGACAAGGGTCCCATTGTCGGTCTTGGCCGTTGGCCTAATTTCACTGTGTCCCCCTCAACAAAGGACTTTAACCCTACAGTTCCTTCTCCCATCACACTGTGGTTAAGGGCTGTTTTATATTGGCCATATACCACAAACCCCCGAGGTGCCTTGTTGCTATTATAAACTGGTTACCAACGGAATTGAGCAGTAAACATTTATGTTTTGTCATACCCGTGGTATACGGTCTGATATACCACGGGTGTCAGCCAATCAGCATTCATGGCTCGAACCACCCAGTTTATAATCTTCATTATACCAGGACTCTTCTGAGGTCTCAGAGAAATGTCCCAGAAATAAATAAATCTGTACGTAACATCTACCCTCTACAGTAGGCCTACTTCTACCAAAACTCATTCTGTCACAGTAATGTAAACAGGGTTTGAATCAGTGTCAGTGTCGGTGTCAGTAAAACAAAATACAACCCTATCCTCCTCCTGAAGACCTCCACCTCTCTGGGGCGGTGGCTCTGACCTATAGGAGATGTTAGGGGCGGTGGCTCTGACCTATAGGATATGTTAGGGGCGGTGGCTCTGACCTATAGGAGATGATAGGGGCGGTGGCTCTGACCTATAGGAGATGATAGGGGCGGTGGCTCTGACCTATAGGAGATGTTAGGGGCGGTCGCTCTGACCTATAGGAGATGTTAGGGGCGGTGGCTCTGACCTATAGGAGATGTTAGGGGCGGTGGCTCTGACCTATAGGAGATGTTAGGGGCGGTGGCTCTGACCTATAGGAGATGTTAGGGGCGGTGGCTCTGACCTATAGGAGATGTTAGGGGCGGTGGCTCTGACCTATAGGAGATGTTAGGGGCGGTGGCTCTGACCTATAGGAGATGTTAGGCGCGGTGGCTCTGACCTATAGGAGATGTTAGGGGCGGTGGCTCTGACCTATAGGAGATGTTAGGGGCGATGGCTCTGACCTATAGGAGATGTTAGGGGCGGTGGCTCTGACCTATAGGAGATGTTAGGGGCGGTGGCTCTGACCTATAGGAGATGTTAGGGGCGGTGGCTCTGACCTATAGGAGATGTTAGGGGCGGTGGCTCTGACCTATAGGAGATGTTAGGGGCGGTGGCTCTGACCTATAGGAGATGTTAGGGGCGGTGGCTCTGACCTATAGGAGATGTTAGGGGCGGTGGCTCTGACCTATAGGAGATGTTAGGGGCGGTGGCTCTGACCTATAGGAGATGTTAGGGGCGGTGGCTCTGACCTATAGGAGATGTTAGGCGCGGTGGCTCTGACCTATAGGAGATGTTAGGGGCGGTGGCTCTGACCTATAGGAGATGTTAGGGGCGGTGGCTCTGACCTATAGGAGATGTTAGGGGCGGTGGCGTGGTCCAGGGCCACCTCCAGCTGGGCAGGGCTGACGTCGGTCCCCACCACCGAGGAGAAGTGAGGGGCCAGGAGCACAGTTCCTTGACCCGATCCACAGCCTACGTCTACTGCCAGGTCACAGGGCTGCACGCCCCTCTGTCAGGACAGGACATGATCATCACACATACACTACCGTTCAAAAGATTGGGGTCACTTAGAAATGTCCTTGTTTTCAAAAGAAAAGCAATTTGTTTGTCCATTAAAATAACATCAAATTGATCAGAAATACTGTGTTAATGTTGTAAATGGCTATTGTAGCTGGAAACGGCTGATTTTTTATGGAATATCTACATAGGTGTACAGAGGCCCATTATCAGAAACCATCAGTCCTGTGTTCCAATGGCACGTTGTGTTTGCTAATCCAAGTTTATCATTTTAAAAAGGCTAATTGATCATTAGAAAACCCTTTTGCAATTATGTTAGCACAGCTGAAAACTGTTGTGCTGATTAAAGAAGCAATAAAACTGGCCTTCTTGAGACTAGTTGAGTATCTGGAGCATCAGCAATTGTGGGTTCGATTACAGGCTCAAAATGGCCAAATAACTTTCTTCTGAAACTCGTCAGTCTATTCTTGTTCTGAGAAATGAAGGCTATTCCATGTGAGAAATTGCGAAGAAACTGAAGATCTCGTACAACGCTGTGTACTACTCCCTTCACAGAACAGCGCAGACTGTCTCTAACCGGAATAGAAAGAGGAGTGGGAGGCCCCGGTGCACAACTGAGCAAGAGGACAAATACATTAAAATTGCTTTTCTTTCGAAAACAAGGACATTTCTAAGTGACCCCAAACCTTTGAACGGAAGTGTAGGTATCAGACATCATTAGTATATGTGAATCTTTTTTAAGGCAGGAGGATGTCAATTTACCTTCAGTTTATTTGCAAAACATTGAAAAGCAGGAATAAAACATGCAGCAATATAATTCTGTAATTTAATTATTCAATACTATTACATCCACAGACTGTAACTATATAATTTGAACGCATACATATTGCATGATGCATGATGTCAAAATAAGAACAAACAAATAGTCTTTGTATTCTGCGAAACATGTATGTCACTCCTACCTTTTTCTTTAGGAAGGACATGACTTCTTCAATGAGCTGAGCCGAGGGAGAGACCCTGTACCTCCAGTAGGAGGTAGCATGCTCCCTACCTTCAAACAGACGATGGGCCATGCCACTGAGCTGTACTACAGCAGAAAACAACAGGAATAGAAATGTTCTCTTCTGCTCAGAAAGATACCTGCTTTTCAGAAGGCTTTTACTAAAACTCAGGCAAGCTCTCCTTCCAGCCTGGTCTCACAGACTAGACATAACATAGTAATATTAAATCAGAGACACTCAAATTATTGTGATATGTAATGTTTGGTATGGTTACATAAGACAGAAGTTTACTTAAGGCAAACCCTGTTAGCTAACCCTTCCCCTAACCCTTTAACCTAACTCCTAACCTTAACCCTTAGCCTAGCCAACGTTAGCAACAACAAATTGTAATTCGTAACATATCATATGAAATGGATGATGGACATCCACAAATTAATACAGATCATGCGAAACATAACATATCATACTAGATGGAGTGTCTCGGATTTACGTACAGAATAATACGAAATGCTCTGAGACCAGGTTACTCCTTCTCACTGTGGTGTGTGGTGGCTACATAAACAAACGTGATCACACACACACACATAAACTCACAGACACACACTAACACACTCACCGCAGGAGATTCCCTTACTTCACAGGTCCAGTTCCAGGGAAACCACTACGTGTTAGGCCAGGCATGTATGAGAGAGGCCCCTGGATAGAGAGAGGAAGGGGCGTTGCAGTGGATTCATGGGAATGTGGGTTGTTTAGTAATGAGGCCTTTTAAGAAGGGGGCCAGGGTTACATGGGGTCACAGAGAGCTGTGTGGGGTGTCAGAACCAATAAGAAGTCCTGTGGAGATGGAATGGGGGAGGTATCAGAATCTTGTTAGCCAATGAGGTGGCTTTTCAATGATGATTGAGGAGGGAAAAGACATAAAAGCCAGTCTTCCTACTTATTCAGATCATGTTGTACATTCAGACCTCTCTCTAAATTTCCCCCCGGCTGTTACTGCAATAACACATCATTATGTATAGCATAACATCATTAAGACATGCTGTATTCGGCCTGGGGTTCACTGTGCCATAGCTAGACAACAATAGGCTTTGTACCTAGGTTTACCACTACACCTTACAGAGAGTTAATAAACCGTCAAGGACTGGTCCAAGATTCGACCAGAGTTCTCTCAGCTATGTATGTCACCCTGTTGGTATAATATGATACATTTGATTGAACCCATGCACTCCATATTGAAAAGAAAGCAACAGAAAATCCAGACAAGTTTTTGAAGTTTGATAATATAAAAAAGTTTTAAATGTTTTATTGTACGTTTCTGGCAAGGAAGAGATACATTTGGCTACCATTTTCATAATGATATGACTATAGAATAAGGTGAATAGTTTGCTCTACATTATAATGTACAAAACAAAGGGGACTTCCATGACATCTTATGCAAACAGAGTCATTGCTCTATTAACAACAGCTTGAAGAGGATTCAGCTTGAACTAACATATCTTAGGACCGCTGACACACATCTGTCTCCACACAAACACAATCACACTGTAAAGAGTGATTACTCCGGTTTAGATGCCAGGACACAGAAATACTCCATTGTCACGTCCATGGATGTGTCAGGTGACGTGACTCCCATCTCCTTCAGAAATCTGCAACCATATTACATCAACATATTTGATAAAAGTGGCATGCATGAAAATAAAATAAAATAATTAATTAATTTGTTTATTCGTTCATTCATTCGTTTGTTCATTCATTCGCTCATTCATTCTTTCATTCATTCATTCATAAATTCATTTATTCATAAATTGATTGATTGATTCATGAATTCATTCCTAAATCCATTCATTCATTCATAAATTCATTCATTCTTTCATAAATACATTCATTCATAAATTCAGTCATTGACCAGGGTTGTTACCTGTCGTGTGTTCTCTGCAGCAGTGCGTTGGCAACATCAGGCTCCGCCCTCTGTAAGGCCTGGTACATGGAGAAGGACTCTATGAAACCCACTATACTCCTGACTGAGATCTGCTACTTTAGTGGGATACACTAAATTCTGAAAGACTAATAGATATCCATCCGCACACTGTTGAATTTAGAGGAGAACCATAGTGGATGCCCTATGCTCCCAAGGGGCCGAGTTTAAGTCACATGATTAAATGCTCCCACAGTTTATTGAGTGCAACATTTCAACCACCTGACAGTAACTTGTGCGTGCAAACAGCTGATTTTGAATAGAATATCTACATAGGTGTACAGAGGCCATTTATCAGCAACCATCAGTCCTGTGTTCCAATGGCAGGTTGTGTTTGCTAATCCAGGTTTATCATTTTAAAAGGCTAATTGATCATTAGAAAACCATTTTGCTATTATGTTAGCACAGCCGAAAACTATTGTGCTGATTAAAGATGCAATAAAACTGGCCTTCTTGAGACTAGTTGAGTATCTGGAGCATCAGCAATTGTGGGTTCGATTACAGGCTCAAAATGGCCAGAAACAAATAACTTTCTTCTGAAACTCGTCAGTCTATTCTTGTTCTGAGAAATGAAGGCTATTCCATGTGAGAAATTGCCAAGAAACTGAAGATCTCGTACAACGCTGTGTACTACTCCCTTCACAGAACAGCGCAGACTGTCTCTAACCAGAATAGAAAGAGGAGTGGGAGGCCCCGGTGCACAACTGAGCAAGAGGACAAATACATTAGAGTGTCTAGTTTGAGAAACAGACGTCTCACAAGTCCTCAACTGGCAGCGTCATTAAATAGTACCCGCAAAACACCAGTCTCAACATCAACAGTGAAGAGGCAACTCCGGGATGCTGACCTAGGCAGAGTTGCAAAGAAAAAGCCATATCTCAGACTGGCCAATAAAAATAAAAGATTAAGATGGGCAAAAGAACACAGACACTGGACTTTTTCTTTGCAACTCTGCCTAGAAGGTCAGCATCTCATTCCAAAATCATGGGCATTAATATGGAGTTGGTCCCCCCTTTGCTGCTATAACAGCCTCCACTCTTCTGGGAAGGCTTTCCACTAGATGTTGGAACATTGCTGCAGGGACTCAGCCACAAGAGCATTAGTGAGGTCGGGCACTGATGTTGGGCGATTAGGCCTGGCTCGCAGTCGACGTTCCAATTAATCCCAAATGTGTTCGATGGGGTTGAGATCAGGGCACTGTGCAGGCCAGTCAAGTTCTTCCACACCGATCTCGACAAACCATTTCTGTACGGACCTCGCTTTGTGCACGGGGGCATTGTCATGATGATACAGGAAAGGGCCTTCCCCAAACTGTTGCCACAAAGTTGGAAGCACAGAACTGTCTAAAATGTCATTGTATGCTGTAGCGTTAAGATTTCCCTTCACTGGAAAAAAATTTGCCCATAGTAAAGTTTCAATAATGTTGACATTTGACTGGCCTGTTAAGTGATCCCACTGGGCACAGACGTCAGTTCAACATCTAGTTTTGCTTTACATTTGGTTGAGTTGTCAACTAATGTGAAATCAACAAAACATGTCACCATGTCATTGGATTTAGGTTAAAACTACAAGGGACAGAGCACCAATACCAATTGATATGGACCTCACATGACGGCAGACACTCAAACACTACAATAGCCACAATTACTTCCTCTACTTGTAGATCTGTATTGAACACATTGGGTTTTTCAAAAGGCAGTGGATATAATCTTTCCATGAGGCCAAACTTTGGAAATGCTGGAGAGTTTGTGTTCATGCAAACCACACCAGCTCCAGTTATTGTGGTGAGGTTTGAGGCGTTTGCTTTCAAAGGTATTGTGTATATTTGTTTAGTGTCACTTCGTCAATATCAGAATTAGAGTCAAACACAAGCATGTTCCTTTTTTGTTTGATAACACTAAAAACACGTACTGGATATTTAGTTTAGTTGTAAGCTGTCCAGCCTACAAGAAGGGACCACACTTCAGTGGGAAAGAGATGGAGATTCTACTTCTAACACCACGTTGTTTTACGACAACACAGTCCACATGGTCATCCATAGTTATCCTGAGTGGCGCAGTGGTCTAAGGCACTGCATCGCAGTGCTAGCTGTGCCACTAGAGATCCTGGTTCGAATCCAGGCTCTGTCGCAGCCGGCTGTGACCAGGAGACTCACGGGCAGCGCACAGTTGTCCAGGTTAGGGGAGGGAATGGCCGGCAGGGATGTAGCTCAGTTGATAGAGCATGGCGTTTGCAATGCCAAGGTTGTGGGTTCAATTCCCATGGGGGACCAGTATGAAAAAAAAAAAATATATATATATATGTATTCACTAACTGTAAGTCGCTCTGGATAAAGAGCGTCTGCTTAATGACTAAAATGTAAATGTATAGTGTAGATCAGAGCAGTAAGGGAAGATACAACTGCACTCTCAGACAGAATGGAACATGGTTATATGGAGTTTATGACACCTTGAATGTTCAGACAAGTAAGTTAGCTAGATTTGTGGATAGTAGTAGTAATAGATTAATTAATTAACAGTAACTGAAGATTCACTCGTGTGTAGATTAACTTGATTGTTGTAGATATTCTTCTTCATAGTATTTTCCCACAATGTACATTTTTTCCAGGCACATTAAACAAGCCAGTAACTTTGTTCCGAGAGAGCAGCAACAGCAGTGAGGTGAAGATGATGTTCAGGTCTTTATCCTGGTACAGCAAAGCCTCCTGGACCAAGAGCACATCTCCAGTGGAAGCACCTACTGCTCTGACTTCAGATGATAGACTAGAAATTGACCGGTTCTCATCTCCCACGTTCAACCATATATATTTCCCCCTGCGAGTTTCACCAGTGGCATTTGAGGATGGAGGATTGTTCAGATGTAATTTTAATAGCCATCTTATGTCTTATGTTGAACTCACAACCATTCAAGGTAACTTTTCTTTTGTCTTTTAACAATGTTCAATGAGGAGAGCAGACATTCTCTGTTCACGTAGCCTAATGTTGGTTCTCTGATTGTCAACCACAAAATAACATGTTTAATTAATCAGTTGTATACTAGGCCTACATTATTATTACGGTATACTGTTCTTTCAGAGGGGAAAGTTCTGTTATGTTTTCTGTTCTCTGGCCCAGTCTCTGCATCTGGAGGGCCCCCTGGTGGCCAGTCGGTGGTGCTGAAGTGTGAGGTGTCGGAGGTGAGCGGTGACCCTGTGACCCTGGCCTGGCTGAGGATGGAGGGGAGGAGGGGACTGCTGGTCAAACAGGATGTCCTGACAGAGAGTCACCCCAACAGGACGCTCAGTGTGACCCTGCCCAGCCTCCATAGCGACCAGCTGTACTGGCAGTGTGGGGTGTTCATAGAGGGCATGCTCAGAGCGAGTGTTCCCCTCAGACTCCGTGGTGCTGGTGGAAGATCAGGGTTACCATCGCCTCTGAAAGGTTACTAATGACGATAGTCGATTATAGTAGGTCACAGTAGATCACATCCTCTGAATGAATTGATTCAGTGAGACATCATGATCATCATTATAAACAACATAAAACAAGTAACCAAATCAATGTCTCTACATTGCCCTTTGCCCCCTACTAAACTGTGATGCATTTGGAGTCATAGCAAAAGCAATTACAGTGTTGTAAGTCCTCAGATGTCTCATTTTTAGCATGTTCTCTTTCATACTTGGTTTCCAACAGACTACACTCAGCAGACTTTGATCATTGCGACCTGTACTGCTCTGGTTGTTGCTGGGATCCTGATTGGTTCTCTGGTGTTCTACCTGAAGAGGAAGAAGACAGACCCAGGTAAAGTCCCTGATAAGGACTAGAACTACAGTAACAGGGCTGTCTCTGCTCCTGATCGAACTTGTCGGGTTGCTATATTTTAGGCCCATGCAAAACATTTGTGTACACATTTATTTTTCTATGATCTCTTTTTTCAAAGCTGTGACATCCCTATCACTCACCCAGAAGAATGACCCAGTCTATGGTAACATAACTGATCCACAAGGAGACCAAGATATACTCTTCACTTTGGAAGTGATATGATGTACAATTCATGAGATAAATGGTATAACAGATGTATGAGAGAGAGGCCTATATGTATATAGGTGATTCACATTTTGGCATTTAGTATTTTTCACTAAAAGAGAGTACCCGAACCCACCCCGTGCTGGCCATATCAATTCCCACTCGACCCACCCAAAACCTGACATCAGGACTGTCTCAAGTGATATTTTATTTTTACCTTGAAGGTACGCCAGACTTACCACTGACTGGGAGGAAAGATGATCCAGAGAGAGACAAACGTAGCTTCAGTGCAGTATATGTGCACACAAAACACTAAACACAATTTCAAGGGCTGCAGTTACACTGACATGTTAGTCTGCAACTCTCTTTTTTTATCTTCTCTGTTTTTATCTTCTCTGTTTTAAAGAGACCAAGTCATACCTGAGCTGATCTATGTAAACACCCCTCACTTTAACACCTATGAAAACAGCCACTGAGAAGACATCATGAGAGTGGGTGGCCATTCATCATCACACACTTTTAAATAACATTACAATTTCAACAAAACAAAATTAAAAGCTGTAAAATAATTATACTATGCAGTCATGACAGTGTTATGACCATATGACAGGTTATGACAAATTGTCAGCTGTTGTTACATATTATGACATGGTTATGACTGTGTCATAACGTGTTATGACCCTGGGTGTCAAGTAAAATGTTACCCAGTCTTGTTATGCTTTTACAGATAAGGAACCAGGGAGGGGAGCTGTTGAGCTACAGATGTCCGTAGCTGATGCTTGAGGACAACTCCAGGGGTAGCAGAGAAAGCATACAGGCCTATACTATCCGAAGCTTTCAGCATTTGATTGTCCATAAAATACATTTAAGCAATGTATGTATTATTATGTTTATCATGCTAAAACTATTTCATACAATCATTTTTCATTCTAAACTTTCAGGAATCCAACCAAACGGTATCAAAACCCATGCAATTGGAGCCATGTCTCTAGCTTATTTTTATTTAAAGATGGAATCCGCATTAGGGGAAACGGCGCCACTGTTCGACCCCCCCCCAGCACATTTCTTATTGTTTTGTTTTGTTGTTGAGAACGGAGGAGAGGAGCGTTTGTCAGTGTGGTAAAAAAAATGGCTGTGTATATTCTGCTGTCCTATCACGCCTGCAATGATGTCAGAGGGAAAAAACGATGTTCGTTGTTTGCAGTAACTTCTTTGTAATATCCTAAACGAACATGGCAGTTTCACCAATGAAGGATTTCAGCTTTAAAGCTAAAGACTTTCACAAAATTCAATGATGAAAGTTATAACGGGTGTAACCCCATTATAACATCATGTACTTTACTTACTGTAACATATGTTTTTAATGAAATACTGTAGGACCAGTGATGTAACTAACAAACTGCTTCCTGTAGCACCAGTTTAGATCATGTTAAGTCACATTTTTCATAGTCTGAGTTGATTCTATTTCAATTCCAGTTCAATTTGTACATTTTTACCGTGGTGTGTTTTTCTTACAGTATTACTAATGCTATTGACAATAAAAGCACATACTTTAGAATATTCTGGGTTAATTTCATTACTGTAACTATTAGACATTGCCTGCCTCGGTCATCCAACCGCAGCATTAAATGATCAAAATGGGGAACACATATGCTGATGGTTGAACTCACCTGAGAAAACCTTCACGTTAGCAGATCAAGAGAACAAGTTGCTACAATGAGGAATGCAATATTCAGATGAGAGGAAATTGTGAAAGCTGCTGTTTAAACAAAGTCTTGGAGTTGTGCCTCAGATATGGGTTGAATCAGAGTTTAACCATGTCAGGTCAGGGTATGGACCACATTATTTTGCTGCTCTGACAATCTTGTTGAAAACTTGACATGCCGAATATTTCATTCGAAACCCAAATATTTGCGACAAGCAACTGAAATGTGTTTTTACAGGACTACATGCTGTACAATATGGACAATAGCTTATATTACTATCAAAGGGAACCTGGTATACCAATTAGAAAATATATTTAAAAACATTCTCTATTTTGAATCGGTTACCCTTGATTCAGAAAGTAAAAAATAGGCTTTAAACCAGATGCCCAATATGTCATCTCTGCATGTTTTAAACACTTACAGGTTGAATTAAAAGTGTTATTTGACCAGATCTGTGTCTTCTTGTCCACACACAGTGATGAAAAGGAGCATGTTCTTCATCTCTGTGACAGAGTGTGAATCTGTCTGTGTCACACCTTGATCAATAGTCAGTGTCAGATCTGGCTCAACCTCACTGGTCAGAGTTCAGCTGGGAGTAGACATCACATGATGGGAGAGACTCATAGCTTATAGCCAGAGGTATATCCTCCAGTCTAGTGGTCAGTCCACTCTTCAGTGACTACTTCTCCCACAGCAAAGACTATGACATCACAGTGAAGCCAAAGTTTGAATGTGCAGGGCTGTTTTTTGTTGTTGCAAGAACTCAACCAGAGTGTGTCTCACTGTCTTTGCTACAAAAAGTAATTCAATTCTTGTCTGTTTTGTACAGACAATCCATTGTGAATTTTCCAATATGACAAAATAGTTTCCGGTGATGAAATAGTTTTGAAAGCCAGCTTCTGCAATTACCCTATTTTCTTCACTTCCTTTGTTCATTTATAGTTAATATGTAACCATATGTAACCATTTTTAAATGACATATTTTTTGTTGCACCTTTCTTTTGGCCTTCATTTTGTCTGGGTTCTGATGTGATTTGTGAGGTGTCCAGCCTACCAGAAGGGACCACACTTTAGTGGGAAAGAGATGGAGATCCCACGTCTAACACCATGTTATTCTACAACAACACTGTCCACATGGTCATCCATAGTGCTGATCAGAGCAGTGAGGGGAGATACTGCTGTAATCTCAGACAGAATGGAACACTGTTAATAGTATTTCTAATGCTGTCAGAACTGAGGAAGGTACAACATGTGTTCTTATCTAACTGAAATATCAACCTTTATGTAAAGTCTGAATATTGTCCTCTTGATCATTAGTTATTGACGATCAATAACATTGGTCTCGTTTTAAATGGTGAAGGCATTTGTCACATTTACAAGAAGATGCACCAGTAATGGCCAGAAGACTTTGGATTTAAATTAAATGAAACTTTCCCCTCTGACTAAACACAGCTTTGAGTTTCCCCACAGTTTCATCCGATGGCACTCTCACATGGTGACACTGCTTTGTAGGAGAGTACACCCATGGCCATGCAGAGTACACCTGTGGCCGTGCTTCATGGTCTTGGACACCACTATCTACAGCAAGAGAGTTTCCAGTCGTGACATCTAAAATATACGGATCCAACAAGACGTTTACTGAGGGGTTTTCATACGGGGACTTCAATGGCTACTACTTAGCGTCTTTACATCTCACCAGTGGAGTTGGAAGATGGTGGAAGGTTCAACCTTCCATTTTAAAAACCTCCTAGTCGCCTCTATTAATGTGGTAACCATAAAGGGTGACCATTCTTTTCTTTTTTAAATATATCCAAGGTACATTTCTTAGAATAAATTAATTCTACTTGCATTCGAGAGAACAAATAACTGATACCCGCTGTCTTCCATTTCAGTCTCCACAGTGCCCCCTAGTGGTGTATCCATCATGAATCATCTGGTGGTGCTGAGGCGCGAGGTGTTGGAGGTGAGCGGTGACCCTGTGACCCTGGCCAGGCTGAGGATGAAGGGGAGGAGAGGGCGGCTGGTCAAACAGGACGTCCTGACAGAGAGTCACCCCAACAGGACTCTCAGTGTGAAACCGCCCCAAGCCAGCTTCACTGGCAGTGTGTGGTGTTCAGAGGGCTTGCTCAGAGCGACAGCCTCCCTGACCTCACAATGCCCACACAGACAACAGTGTCTTCAATGACAGGTAACAACTTGTCATGATTATATAGACTCTCTGCAATCTGACCCCATATGTTCCAAACCCAGGCTAATCTAACGAAATTGTTCAGCACGGGACCTCTGCTTTACCCTGGCATAGGCTTATTGTAACGAAGGAAAGAGGTTATCATTTGTACTTGAGAGGCTTTCTTGGGGATGGGCACAGAGACGGAGGTCAGAGGGGAGATTGCAGTGGGTGCCACCCTAGTAATACTGGTTCTTCTCGGGTTCTGCTGTCGAAGACCAAAAGGTAAGGAAACACTCCCTCTTGGATACTCTCCATAAAAAAGGACCAGAGGCATCCAACCTAATCCCAAAGGAATGGAAAAGACACTGCAGGCACCATCTAAAATGACTGAATTAGACAGTACATATATTTCTCATTCATTTGGGACAGAGGCATACATCTAGCCTACACGTGGATTCATCTCCACAATAGTCTTCAAAAAAATGGACAAACTTCGATTTTTGAGTGAATTTTCACTTTAACTTGTTACAAAACATACACAAACAAACGACAACGTCTCACAAACATCCACAACATCACCCCTGCTCAGACCCCCATCTCCAGCGCCTGCATCACTCTCCGCCACATGGTCTCAAACGGCACCATTTTGATTCTCTCCGTCGCCCACGCACTTTCAACATTTAGATAATAAAGCATTTGACCTTTCCATTGTGTTAACGATGGAGGATTGTTTGATTTCCAGTTTTTAAGTATAGGTTTTTTCCAGATGTAGTATCGTCCAACCCATCGGGTATCTCACTGCACCCTCATATGCCATGTCTTGAAATATGCAGACAGACGGATTAGAAGTAAATTGACATAGTAATACTTCTTACAGCCAAGTTTCTTACTCTGCCCATAACTTTTGGACTTCATAGCATTCCCAGAAGGCATGGATGGTTGAGTCATTGTTAGTTTTACACTTAAGACATGACTCTGTCGTTGTGCTGTAGAATTTATGAATTTTGTCTCTTGTGTAATAAATTCTATACATTAGTTTATACTGGATTAAGCGTACATTTTTGATAACTATAATTTTGTTCGTTATGCTCCAACATTCCCTCTATCTTGTGCCAATATCCATTCTTTTTAAGTCTTGGTTCCAGTAGTTTCTATTTTTTTCTTAAGAGATTGTCAGTTGGATAGACTCTCCTTTCTGCAACGTTTTGTATATCTTACACATCATACCGTATGACTATATTTTTCTGACTCAAATAAGATTCCCTCAAGATTGCTCTGATGTCCAAAATATTTTGTTAGTTTCTACCTTGGCAACAGTGTCTCAGCTTATTTCAACATTTGACTCTCCTGTAATAGGGAAGTTGTCAGTAATAGAGAACCATAAATGGACTGTCCATAATGTAGGAAGTTCAACTTGTGGTTGAACTTGAACACCACTGTCTATCTATGGAGTTTCATGAAAACGATTGTTTTGGTACCATTAATTTCTATAAGGATTGTTGTGTGGCAGGTGACTATTGATGACTTAGGGAGCCCTACCCCTTAACCCCAGCCCGACCATACAGTATAGGGTGGATACAAGTAAAGTGAGATGTCATGAAGTATCCTCAGATGTGCAGTCATTTTTATTTTGCATTACATATAGTAATACTACTGAACTGTTGTAGCTAGAAACACAAGAAATGATGCTACACCCGCAATAACATCTGCTGAATTTGTATATGTGACCAATAACATTTGATTTGATTTGAATCTGTCGTTTTTCTTTTATTCCTATTTTCATCAGTCATTTCCTGTACAAACTTAACAGGTACCTCAGTAATGATATGAGTTTGCTACTGAGCAAAGAGGGGAACAGAACAAGTAGTTACAGTAACATGGGGAAGGACAGAGGCTCTGTGAGTGTTACGTTGTTGTGGATCCTGGTATGGATATCAGCACACGGTCAAGGATTCTCAGCCGAAGGTGAGTAGCTGGTTTCTGGTTGAATTATCAAGATCATTTTAGTGTAAAATAACAATAATCTCCATTTAAAGTTTGGCATACAAGTACAATGATAAAGCTATCGAGGAGTCATCGGAGAAAGAGAGACAGATTGGGGGGGGGGGGGGGGGGGGGGTTTGCTGTAGCCTTTAATAGAGAACGGTGAATTATGTTACATAGACATTCTGACACATTTCTACTCTCCACAGTATTGTCAAAGAACATATTTTTCATTGCCGAGTCAAGAGACAGAGTCACTATCCCAGTTTCCCCCATGGTTCTACAAGGGACAGAGCACCATTACCAATGGATATGGACCTCACATGACGGCAGACACTCAAACACCACAATAGCCAAAATAATTTCATCCACTTGGGAATCTGTATCGAACACATTGGGTTTTTCAAAAGGCAGTGGATATAATCTTTCCATGAGGCCACACTTTGGAAATGCTGGAGAGTTTGTGTTCATGCAAACCAAACCAGCTTCAGTTATTGTGGTGAGGTTTGAGGCGTTTGCTTTCAAAGGTATTGTGTATATTTGTTTATTGTCACTTCGTCAATATCAGAATTAGAGTCAAACACAAGCATGTTCCTTTTGTGTTTGATAACACTAAAAACACGTACTGGATATAACATCAAGGATGTTCGATTTGTAAATGTTAACCAATTATTTTTGAAGTAATCTACAACTCTACGTTTGCAGTTACCCCCTATGATTGGCCTTCATTTCGTCTGGGTTCTGATGTGAGTTTTAGTTGTAAGCTGTCCAGCCTACAAGAAGGGACCACACTTCAGTGGGAAAGAGATGGAGATCCTACTTCTAACACCACGTTGTTTTACGACAACACAGTCCACATGGTTATCCATAGTGTTGATCAGAGCAGTAAGGGAAGATACAACTGCACTCTCAGACAGAATGGAACACGGTTATATGAGGTTTATAATACCTTGAATGTTCAGACAAGTAAGTTAGCTAGATTTGTGGATAGTAGTAGTAATAGATTAATTAATTAACAGTAACTGAAGATTCACTCGTGTGTAGATTAACTTGATTGTTGTAGATATTCTTCTTCATAGTATTTTCCCACAATGTTAATTTTTTCCAGGCACATTAAACAATCCAGTAACTTTGTTCCGAGAGATCAGCGACAGCATTGAGGTGAAGATGATGTGCAGGTCTTCATCCTGGTACAGCAAAGCCTCCTGGACCAAGAGCACATCTCCAGGGGAAGCACCTACTGCTCTGACTTCAGATGATAGACTAGAAATTGACCGGTTCTCATCTCCCACGTTCAACCAAATATCTTTCCCCCTGCGAGTTTCACCAGTGGCATTTGAGGATGGAGGATTGTTCAGATGTAATTTTAATAGCCATCTTATGTCTTATGTTCAACTCACAACCATTCAAGGTAACTTTTCTTTTGTCTTTTAACAATGTTCAATGAGAGAGCAGCCACTCTCTGTTCACGTAGCCTAATGTTGGTTCTCTGATTGTCAACCACAAAATAACATGTTTAATTAATCAGCTTTATACTAGGCCTACATTATTATTACGGTATACTGTTCTTTCAGAGGGGAAAGTTCTGTTATGTTTTCTGTTCTCTGGCCCAGTCTCTGCATCTGGAGGGCCCCCTGGTGGCCAGTCGGTGGTGCTGAAGTGTGAGGTGTCGGAGGTGAGCGGTGACCCTGTGACCCTGGCCTGGCTGAGGATGGAGGGGAGGAGGGGACTGCTGGTCAAACAGGATGTCCTGACAGAGATTCACCCCAACAGGACGCTCAGTGTGACCCTGCCCAGCCTCCATAGAGACCAGCTGTACTGGCAGTGTGGGGTGTTCATAGAGGGCATGCTCAGAGCGAGTGTTCCCCTCAGACTCTGTGGTGCTGATGGAAGATCAGGGTTACCAGGCCTAGGGTTACCATCGCCTCTGAAAGGTTACTAATGACGATAGTCGATTATAGTAGGTCACAGTAGATCACATCCTCTGAATGAATAGATTCAGTGAGACATCATGATCATCATTATAAACAACATAAAACAAGTAACCAAATCAATGTCTCTACATTGCCCTTTGCCCCTTACTAAACTGTGATGCATTTGGAGTCATAGCAAAAGCAATGAACGGTGTTGTAAGTCCTCAGATGTCTCATTTTTAGCATGTTCTCTTTCATACTTGGTTTCCAACAGACTACACTCGGCAGACTTTGATCATTGCGACCTGTACTGCTCTGGTTGTTGCTGGGTATCCTGATTGGTGCTCTGGTGTTCTACCTGAAGAGGAAGAAGACAGACCCAGGTAAAGTCCCTGATAAGGACTAGAACTACACTGAACAAAAATATAAACGCAACATGCAAGCAACAATTTCATAGATTTTATTGAGTTACAGTTCATATAAGGAAATCAGTCAATTGAAATAAATAAATTAGGCCCTAATCTATGGATTTCACACGACTGGGAATACAGATACCTTGTTGGTCACAGATACCTTTTTAAAAAAAGGGTAGGGGTGTGGATCAGAAAACCATCAGTATCTGGTGTGACCACCATTTGCCTCATGGAGCGACACAATTCGTTAGCATAGAGTTGATCAGGCTGTTGATTGTGGCCTGTGGAATGTTGTCCCACTCCTCTTCAATGGCTGTGCGAAGTTGCTGGATATTGTCGGGAACTGGAACATGCTGTCGTAGGCCACATGTCGATTCAGAGCATCCCAAACATACTCAATGGGTGGCATGTCTGGTGAGTATGCAGGCCATGGAAGAACTGGGACATTTTTAGCTACCAGGAATTGTGTACAGATCCTTGCGACATGGGACCATGCATTATCATGCTGAAACATGAGGTGATGGAGGCTGATGAATGGCACGACAATGAGCCTCACGATCTCATTAAGGTATCTCTGTGCATTCAAATTGCCATCGATAAAATGCAATTGTGTTCGTTGCCCCTAGCTTATGCCTGCCCATACCATAACCCCTCCGCCACCATGGGGCACTCTGTTCACAATGTTGGCTTCAGCAAACGCTCGCCCACATGATGCTATGCACGCTGCCTGCCATCTGCCAGGTACAGTTGAAACCAGGATCATCCCTGAAAAGCACGCTTCTCCATCATGCCAGTGGCCACCGAAGGTGAACGTTTGTCCACTGAAGTCGGTTTCGACCAGAATATGTGAGGAGAGTTGAGCAGTTGGAAATCCCGCTCATTGCTCATGGTGCTGTTGCTCATGGTGCTGTTACTCATGGTGCTGTTGCTCATGGTGCTGTTGCGCACCACTCCACCACTCCACGTCTACCATTTGGTTTTGAAGTATTGAAACCAAACCATATGATTTTAATTAATTTTAAACAGCATATTTTTTAAATTATTTTTTATTTATTTAACCTTTATTTAACTAGGCAATTCAGTTAAGAACAAATTCTTATTTACAATGATGGCCTACACTGGCCAAACCCGGACGACGCTCGGCCAATTGTGCGCCGCCCTATGGGACATTCAAGCCTGGAATCGAACCAGGGTCTATAGTGACGCCTCTAGCATATAAACACTCTAAATAGGTCAGGAGCCAGATAGGGATCCTAAGGAATGAAAATGAATGATTTAGGCTATATTATTTCAATTATTTCAAGGCTATAGCCTACAAAGAAATACATTGTGAAGCATTAGTGAGTGAGACACAATAAGCTGGTAGGGACATAAAGGGCTCAGCATCTAAACAACATGTTGTTGTATTAAATCATTATAGTCTATACATTGCTCATATAGGCTGTGACTTACTTAGAATTTAATACAAGTTAAACTGAAAATGCCTTATTAGGCTCAGTGCCCTTGAATTTATTTTTATTAACACAATTTTGGCCAGAGTCTGTGGTTTCAGGCTCATGCGATGGTGCCTAGAGAACAGGCCAGCAGGTGGAGAATATCCTCTCTGTGTTTGCAGAGCCACTGGGGATGGTAAACACCCTTTTGGGCTCTCTTGCCAGGCTGGGCAGAGATGCAGAGTTGTTTTTAATGTTTCTATAGGTAGGCCTAAAGGTTTTTAGGCAAAATAACCCAATCAAAATGGAAAGCTCCTTGAACGTGGGAATATGCCAGGCCTATTGGGCCAAAATCAGTTATGGCCTATTGTCTAGATAATGGAACAACAATGTACACAACCTTTAAGAGATCAGATTTTTAGTTCATAAGTACTTTGCTACAATGACACACTTAAGGCCAAATCAAACGGGCATTGCTTCGCTTAGACGCAAGAAAAATAGAGCTTTCTAATTTTAAGTGCATGATGCCTTTGACAGCGTTGACTTTCGCGATCGATCTGTTTTCTGTCATTCACTACCATGCGTTCTAATTCTAGCTTGTACACGCTCGTTCTGTTTGATTTGGCCTTTAGTTAGCTACCCACCTCGTTCCTTTATTTTAGCATGTGCACGTAGAAAGTACACCATCATGCTTTCAGGATACTTGTCTTTTCTGATTCCAAAATGATTATTTAGTTGTGGACACTACAACACCGCACTCCATCTCTTGCTCTTGGTCCTCATCTTTGTTAGTCACCTTGATTTTTCACCTGTGTGTTTTATCAGTTTCTTTCTGAAAATATTTAGTGAGCTCAATGACAGTAGCTAAAGCAAGGGGCTATAGCAGCACACAAGTAGACTGCAAATGCATGCTGGGCCGGGAAAGCCCTGAGCTCGTGAAGTGAACGCTACTGGCATGAAGTGAGCGCTACTGGAGCAAAATTGGAATGGGCAAGAAGGCCGACACTCCAGCCTTTGGGAATCTTGCTTTGCGGTCCAGTCAAATTAGGCATGCTCCACTCCTCGTGCTTACATACTCTGGTTATGACACAGAACTGCAGTCAGGTCAAGACCCTGGTGAGGACTATTAGCACACAGATGAGCTTCCCTGAGACGGTTTCTGACAGTTTGTGCAGTAATTATTTGGTTGTGAAAACCCACAGTTTCATCAGCTGTCAGGATGGCTGGTTTCAGACGATCCCGCAGGTGAAGAAGCTGGATGTGGAGGTCCTGGGATGGTGTGGTTACACGTGGTCTGCGGTTGTGAGGCCAGTTGGACGTACTGCCAAATTCTATAAAAATAAGTTGGAGGTGGCTTATAGTAGAGAAATTAACATAAAATGATGTCAACAGCTTTGGTGGACATTACTGCAGTCAGCATGCCAATTTCACGCTCCTTCAAAACTTGATACATCTGTGGCATTGTGTTTTGTGACAAAACTGCACATTTAAGCGTGGCCTTTTATTGTCCCCCGCACAAGGTGCACCTGTGTAATGATCATGTTGTTTAATCAGCTTCTTGATATGCCACACCTGTCAGGTGGATGGATTATCTTGGCGAAGGAGAAACGCTCACTAACAGGGACGTAAACAGATTTGAGCACAACATTTTAGAATATTTTTGTTAATTAGGACAATTTCTGGGATCTTTTATTTCAGCTCATGAAACATGGGACCAACACTTTACATGTTGTTTATATTTTTGTTCAGTGTATAACATGGCTGTCTCTGCTCCTGACCAAACTTGTCGGGTTGCTACATCTTATGCCTATGCCAAAAATTGTGTACAAATGTTTTTCTATATCTCTTCTTTCAAAGCTGTGACATCCCTACCACTCACCGAGAAGAATGACCCAGTCTATGGTAACATCACAGATCCACAAAGAGACCAAGGTATACCCTTCTTCACTTTGGGAGTGATATGATGTACAATACATAAGAGATATAGATATATCGTATAACAGAGGTATGAGAGAGAAGCCTATGGGTAGAGGAAGGAGGAGGTTTAGATCATAGAATTACATATTATAACTCTTAATAGGATCTCTGTGGTTGAGATTACTTTCAAGATTATATTCCGAATGCTCCACTGCCAGGAGATGGATATGAAGTCACAACTGTCTGATTAACATTTTGGCATTTTGTATGTTTCAGAGAGCAAGGGGGGTCGAACAGGGCAAGATGACAATGAGGAAGTTCATTACTCCAAATTTGCTTTTGTTGAACCCAGGCTTGGTGGTGAGTAGTGGGTTTGGAAACATAGAATGGTTCTTAGAATGTAAATGGAAGCGTAACAATTGGCATTTATTGTCTTTTTCAGATCCCAACAGAGTCACATCAGGGTCAAATCAGGTAAGAATAGCACTTTATTCAAATTATTATTTTGTTACAGTTACCTGTCATTTTGCTGTTTAGTACAGTTGAAGTCAGAAGTTTACATACACCTTAGCCAAATACAGTTAAACTCAGTTTTTCACAATTCCTGACATTTAATCCTAGTAAAAGTTCCCTGTTTTAGGTCAGTTACGATCACCACTTTATTTTAAGAATGTGAAATGTCAGAATAATAGTAAAGATAATTATTTATTTCAGCTTTTATTTCTTTCATCACATTCCCAGTGTGTCAGAAGTTTACATACACTCAATTAGTATTTGGAAGCATTGTCTTTAAATTGTTTAACTTGGGTCAAACGTTTTGGGTAGCCTTCCACAAATAAGTTGGGTGAATTTTGGCTCATTCCTCCTGACAGAGCTGGTGTAACTGAGTCAGGTTTGTAGGCCTCCTTGCTCGCACACACTTTTTCAGTTCTGCCCACACATCTTCTATAGGATTGAGGTCAGGACTTTGTGATGGCCACTTCAATACCTTGACTTTGTTGTCCTTAAGCCATTTTGCCACAACTTTGGAAGTATGCTTGGGGTCATTGTCCATTTGGAAGACCCATTTGCGACCAAGCTTTAACTTCCTGACTGATATCTTGAGATGTTGCTTCAATATATCCACATAATCTTCCTTCCTCATGATGCCATCTATTTTGTGAAGTGCACCAGTCCCTCCTGCAGCAAAGCACCCTCACAGCATGATGCTACCACCCTCGTGCTTCCCGGTTGGGATGGTGTTCTTCGGCTTGCAAGCCGCCCCTTTTTCCTCCAAACATAACGATGGTCATTATGGCCAAACAGTTATATTTTTGTTTCATCAGACCAGAGGACATTTCTCCAAAAAGTACGATCTTTGTCCCCATGTGCAGTTGCAAACCGTAGTCTGTCTTTTTTTATGGCGGTTTTGAAGGAGTGGCTTCTTCCTTACTGAGCAGCCTTTCAGGTTATGTTGATATAGGATTAGTTTTACTGTGGAAATAGATACTTTTGTACCTGTTTCCTCCAGCATCTTCACAAGGTCCTTTGCTGTTGTTCTTTGATTGATTTGCACTTTTCGCACCAAAGTACGTTCATCTCTAGGAGACAACGCGTCTCCATCCTGAGCGGGATGACGGCTGCGTGGTCCCATGCTGTTTATACTTGCGTACTATTGTTTGTACAAATAAACTTGGTACCTTCAGGCGTTTAGAAATTGCTCCCAAGGATGAACCAGACTTGTGGAGGTCTACAATTTTTATTCTGGGGTCTTGGCTGATTTCTTTTGATTTTCCCATGATGTCAAGCAAAGAGGCACTGAGTTTGGAGGTAGGCCTTGAAATACATCCACAGCTACACTTGACTCAAATGATATCAATTAGCCTATCAGAAGCTTCTAAAGCCATGACATCATTTTCTGGAATTTCCCAAGCTGTTTAAAGGCACAGTCAACTTAGTGTATGTACACTTCTGACGCACTGGAATTGTGATGCAGTGAATTATAAGTGAAATAATCTGTCTGTAAACAATTGTTGGAAAAATTACTTGTGTCATGCACAAAGTAGATGTCCTAACCGACTTGCCAAAACTATAGTTTGTTACCAAGAAATTTGTGGAGTGGTTGAAAAACGAGTTTTAATGACTCCAACCTAAGTGTATGTAAACTTCCGACTTCAACTGTATGTTCTTTGTGATTAACTCTTATTAATGTCCATAACTACAGGAAGGTGATGCTGTGATCTATTCCACGCTCAACATATAAAGAAACCTGTCTTTCAGCAGGATAAAACAACTGTGTTAAAATGCAGGGATTATGTTCCATATTTTGTTTATTTCTTACTGTGTTTATTAGTCTATTTTGGATTTTTTTACCTGAGTATGACACAATGTAAAGGAAGGTTGTGTTCATTTCAATCCTGCCCACATGCCCACAGCTGGCAGCACACAAGTAATCATCAATTCGGAGTGCAGCTACACAAGACTAATCGTAATACCCGTGGTAAATTTGGTTTCACTTGTGAAGGAACATCGATAAATTACACAATGTACATGGGACAATATGTAAAAATGTGAATAGTTCCAAATTTAAATAACTTAAAAACCTCAAACCAACTATAAATTGTAGAAGTTCAAATTCATTGACGGTCCCTAACTAGACCCGTCCATAGGCTATCCAAAATCAAACCAATTTTGCCATGGTCGAAGACCAGCCAGCTGAAGCTAATTGGCGCACACACACAAGAGACACCCACAAGTTTAAGAGTTAATTTCATGCAATTCTACACATTTTGCCATGGGGTGTAGAGAAAATGTTGCGGTTTTAAAGCAAGTTAGCTGCAATTCTACACATTTTTCCATGGGGCGGAGAGGAAAATGTGCTGTTTTATAGCTAATTTGCCTGCAGTTCTACACATTTTGCCATAGGGGGGAGAGAAATGTTTGCAGTTTTTAATATGATATGTGGGGTTGGCAGGTAGCTTAGTGGGTTAAGAGCTTTGTGCCAGTAACCAAAATGTCGCTGGTTCTAATCCCTGAGCCGACTAGGTGAAAAATCTGTCGATGTGCCCTTGAGCAAGGCTCTTAACCCTAATTGCTCCTGTAAGTCGCTCTGGATAAGAGCTTCTGCTAAATGACTAAATGTAAATGAGTGAGACATACTAACAAAATCAATGGGGGCTAATGCTGAGCGATTAACCGAAATTGTTGGTTATCTTTAGGTTTTTAAACAACTAATTGACCAACATCAGTTCAATTATTTGAATTCCACTTCGTTTTTTTTTCTTCTTCTGTGAGCTCAATACGCACATTGCCCCGTTTCTCTATAGAGATATATCAGATCCAGCCTGAACTGTGCGATGTAGTATGGAGTTTCCAACAGGCAATATTCTACATAGTTTAGCGCATAAAACGTGGTAATTAACTACAATGACCATAATCCATTGCGCATCTACTTGTCCTGTCGCTGTTTCTTTTACTTTATGCCTGCTACGGAAGAGGCAGAATGCGTGATAGTGAGGCGATATAGAGAGCAGTTGTTGCTTCACGAGATATCTCTACCTGAAAATACATGATCTAAGTTATTGATAGTTGGTATTCAGCAGTCATAAAAGTATGCCTTCTTTAATTTGAAGAACTACAAAATAGTGATTTTGTCATACAGCATATGCATCAGCTCTATAGAGAGGAGATGATGACTTGGAATGAAATAACTGTAAAGTCATTTACATTTACATTTTAGTCATTTAGCAGACGCTCTTATCCAGAGCGACTTACAGTTAGTGCATACATTATAATTTTTTAAATACTGACCCCCCGTGGGAATCGAACCCACAACCCTGGCGTTGCAAACGCCATGCTCTACCAACTGAGCTACATCCCTGCCGGCCATTCCCTCCCCTACCCTGGACAACGCTGGGCCAACTGTGCGCCGCCCCATGGGTCTCCCGGTCGCGGCCGGCTACGACAGAGCCTGGATTCGAACCAGGATCTCTAGTGGCACAGCTAGCGCTGCGATGCAGTGCCTTAGACCACTGCGCCACTCGGGAGAGTCATCAAATAAAACAAATGTTATATACACAACTGAAATATTTTATTAAAGTAAAGTAATGTAAAATGATAAGTGATAAGCAGTCATGGGCAGTCACTACCATCATGGGACTTGTATTAATTGTTTTATTCTGTGTTCCAGCATTCAACCCAAATAATCGAAACCGAAATGGAAAACCATGATTATTTTTTGAAATTATCAAACCGAAACCGAACAGACCTCAAAAAGCACTAATCCTCAGCAAGAATGGGGGACCGATGGTTATTCGACCATGATAACAAGTTTAGATAGCAGGATGCTAAACTAATTTAGCAATCAAAAAAATGTTAGCTGACATGGGCTATATTGACAGACTATCAGTGACTGACATAACAAGAGAAAAACTGCTGATGCACCTTGTGCTTTCTATTATTATAACTTGCAATAGTAAATTGAGACCCCGAGTGCTTTCCTGGGGGAATTGATCCGAGGGCCTTCAAAATGGGGGCTGTGGGCCGCCAGTTGCCAATCCTTGATCTAGTAGAATTCGCTGGCTGCACACTATTGAAGAACAGAATCTTCTTTCGAGACCCACGTGAGCTCATAATCGCAAAAGGTGACATGTACCAAATTGAACAAATGGCTGGAATAATGTAATTACGCATTAAATGACAGATTCTCAGTATCGATGAGCCTAGTATGTTGTTATTTGTTGCGCTCTAAAGAGTATACAGTACGATTAGTACACAGTATGTTGTTTTAGTAAGTAATATGCAAGACTGATTTCGGACATGTCCATAGTAGAGTAAAATATCCTTACTAAGACACCCATGTATAGACAGCAGGTGGCGCAATTGAGGAATTTCTAATAGCTGTAACTGAAATAATTTTGTATTGCTGTACATATTGCATCATTGGGTGAAAACGATATTAATGTTTTTGTATTTTATAGTTGTATATTTTGTATGGAAAGTAACTCCATTAAATTGGTATTTTGAAATAAACACGGTCCTTGTAAACTGAATTCAACTCATTGTATAGGTGAGTGCAGTTGCATATGCTACTAGGAGATGGCAATGTTGGAAAGACAATGTTTTGCAAGAATACAGCACATGAGGTTTGAGTTGCTATCTCTAGTTCCTTTAGGGATTGCAGTGAAAAGGTAGCAATTCAATGCATTTCTCTCTCCCACTAAATGCAATGAATAGACTGCACATAGAAGGAATGTCTTTATACACAGACAGATGCGGAGTCTATCACCAAAATCCCTCTTTTTTTGTGCAGAGGTGTGTGTGTGTGTGTGTTCATGCGTGGTTGTGTGTGTATGTACACACACACACACACACACACACACACACACACACATACAAACACACACTCGCTTCTGTGCTTCTGTGTGAGTCTGCGTGTCTTGTGTGTGCATGTGGGAGCTATTGAAAGGATTCAAGGTCTCCTGAAATGAAGTATTTTATACTTGACTCAGAAAGAAGGAATGGGAAACAAAAAAAAAAAGTATTTCAATTCACACTGATACGTAACAATGGCGTTGTGAAGAAAGTGACAGCCACAGGTGTTGAGAGGAGAATGAATCAAGGTGAAGACCTATTCTGCCTCTCTCCCTGCATGGCTTCCTTCTGTGCAAACCTCTATACTGTAGCAGCCATGGTCTCAGGCTGGAGCTTTGTCTGTAGCTGTCAGGGTTAGGAGAACAGAATAAGCAGTCATTTTTTGAAAATAATATGATGTATTGTTGAAGGAATTGCTGGCCTCTATTAGTAAAAAAAAAAAAAAAAAAAAGCCATAATACAGTATTTTCAGCGATTTATTTTCACTTCATTTGGTATGAATACTATCCTCCAATAGGGGGCAAGCCAGTACAGTTTAACGCTTTTACCGTTTTTTTATGTGCAGTGTCTTTGCATCTCTGTGATCGCCTCACTCACATGCATGTATATCTACACAGAAACACATGCTAACACACACCCATACAGACCTATACATCTGAACATGCACATACAAAAAATATACACACACACACCACAGTATATTATATTCAGTACTAGCGCATGCGGAGGAAGGAGCGTGGATGGAAGAATGCCTGGCTGTCTATCTCCTGTCACCAGTGCATTGTGTTCTCTATTTAAGGCAATGTTTACCCAGCTCTCACCATACACTGCTACCTTACAGATGAGCTGCCAGAGACACTCATACCCTTTAGCTCTGTGTCTGCATCTCTGTCTCACCCCCACTGATACAAACCAGGGTGTCCAGGGGGTGTCCAAGGGACCTAAACCAGGGTGTCCAGGGGACCTAAACCAGGGTGTCCAGGGGGTGTCCAAGGGACCTAAACCAGGGTGTCCAGGGAACCTAAACCAGGGTGTCCAGGGGGTGTCCAAGGGACCTAAACGAGGGTGTCCAGAGGACCTAAACCAGGGTGTCCAGGGGACCTAAACCAGGGTGTCCAGGGGGTGTCCAATGGACCTAAACCAGGTGTCCAGAGGACCTAAACCGGGATGTCCAGAGGACCTAAACCAGGGTGTCCAGGGGACCTAAACCAGGGTGTCCAGGGGGTGTCCAATGGACCTAAACCAGGGTGTCCAGGGGACCTAAACCAGGGTGTCCAGGGGACCTAAACCAAGGTGTCCAGGGGACCTAAACCAGGGTGTCCAGGGGACCTAAACCAGGGTGTCCAGGGGACCTAAACCAGGGTGTCCAGGGGACCTAAACCAGGGTGTCCAGGGGACCTAAACCAGGGTGTCCAGGGGGTGTCCAATGGACCTAAACCAGGGTGTCCAGGGGACCTAAACCAGGGTGTCCAGGGGACCTAAACCAGGGTGTCCAGGGGACCTAAACCCTCACACACAAACTAAGGGCTGCAGAGATTTGTAGAAAAACTACTGTGAACATGCACAGGTGTCCTTTAGAAAAGACCATGGTCCTTACCAGTACGCTAAAGCACACTATAGACGTGCTGAGACGGTGGTGGAAAATGATCAATAGTGCTGATGAGGAGTGGATAGGTGTGATGTCACCATGAAGGGACTCTTTATGTAACAGTGAAACCACTGCAGATAACCTCGTTTGATATGCTGGTGGTCACGTAGTGAGGGAGTCAGGGAGCTGAGTAGTGTTACCTAGAGCCAATAGCTCTAAACTATCTGAAAAATATGGGTTGTTTATCAATTTAAAGGACCAATAAAAAAGGGATAAAAAACGTAGGTGCTGGATTTTAGGCTGGTAGCAACCACCACAGGGTGTCTGTTCAGAACACGAGGAAGCAGTAGTTCCAGTTCAAGGTTTAATGAAGATCCACACACACACACATACAACACCACTCTCTATGATACTATTGATGGTTCTGTAAAGAAAAGAGGAGAACTTAGGCTATAGCACATTATGGGAAAAATATGCCTACTTGCATGTAAACAACTAAACAGGCTATGTGGACCCAAACACATGATAGATGCACAAAGAACAATAGAGCAATGTAGAAATATCTATACATTATAAAACAACATAACAAGCATGAGCGATCTACAACCGAAAATAGCCTAGCACCACAGACAAATGCTAACAAATGCTAATAGATAATAAGCATGCTAAATAGTAATGCACTCTGGATGACAATGCTAATGCTAATGCTAAAGCCTGTGGTGCGCGTCGTCAGCCCGGTCCGGCCTGTTCCTGCTCCCCGCACCAAGCCAGTGGTGCGCGTCGCCAGCCCAGTCCGGCCGGTTCCTGCTCCCCGCACAAAGCCAGTGGTGCGTGTCGTCAGTCCGGCACAGCCCGTGCCTGTTCCACCGGTGCCTGGTCAGGTACCAGTCAGCTGCTCCACACCGGAGCCTAAGCAATCCGCTCCACCGATGTCCAGTCCAGCTCCAGCCAGCGGGGCCAGACCAGACCAGGTGCGCTACGGGGGGGTAGCTAGAGAGTGGTGGTCACGCCCGGAGCCGGATCCGCCTCCGAGGCGGAATGCCCACCCGGCCCCTCCCCTGTTGGGTTTAGTTGGCGCGGTCGCAGTCCGTGCCTTTGGGGGGGGGGTACTGTCACGCCCTGGCTCTGGGGACTCTTATATGTTGAGCCAGGGTGTGGATTGTCTATGTTGTATGTTCTATGTTCATGTTCTAGTTCATGTGTTTCTATGTTGGCCGGGGTGGTTCCCAATCAGAGGCAGCTGTTGCTTATTGTCTCTGATTGGGAACCATACTTAGGCAGCCTGTTTTGCACTTGTCATTTGTGGGATCTTGTTCCGGAGAGGTTTGTGTTTTGTTAACCTTAGGACTTCACGTATCGTTTTGTTGTTTTGTTCATGTGGTTGAAAAGTACTCATTAAAAGATGTACGCATATCACGCTGCGCCTTGGTCCGCTTCTTACGACGAACGTGACACTTATCTGGATCTTGCTAATTGCTCCACTGGGATGACTGCTGCTGTGTTAGGATGTTTTGTGTCATATGACATCTGTGGGCCAGACAGAATGAGTGTAAACATGAATTACTCATAGGGAGTAGTGGGACACAGAGCCTCATGCAGTAAAATGTGTGTTATTCTGAAGACGGCAGTAAAATGTGCCGTGGGACAGAGAACATTGTGTTCTAAGAGTGATGTGTTTTTTTTATTTGTTTTTGTTTTTATTTTTGTATTTATTTGACATTTTAATTTTTTGGGGGGTGGATCAGCTTTAATATTGCAGATGAGGCCTCCCACTCCTCTTTCTATTCTGGTTAGAGCCAGTTTGCGCTGTTCTGTGAAGGGAGTAGTACACAGCATTGTACGAGATCTTCAGTTTCTTGGCAATTTCTCGCATAGAATAGCCTTCATTTCTCAGAACAAGAATAGACTGACGAGTTTCAGAAGAAAGTTATTTGTTTCTGGCCATTTTGAGCCTTTAATCGAACCCACAATTGCTGATGTTCCAGATTCTCAACTAGTCTCAAGAAGGCCAGTTTTATTGCTTCTTTAATCAGCACAACAGTTTTCAGCTGTGCTAACATAATTGCAAAAGGGTTTTCTAATGATAAATTAGCCTTTTAAAATGATAAACTTGGATTAGCAAACACCATGTGCCATTGGAACACAGGACTGATGGTTGCTGATAATGGGCCTCTATACGCCTATGTAGATCTTCCATAAAAAATCAGCCGTTTCCAGCTACAATAGCCATTTACAACATTAACAATGTCTACACTGTATTTCTGATCAATTTGATGTTATTTTAATGGACGAAAAAATTGCTTTTCTTTCGAAAACAAGGACATTTCTAAGTGACCCTAAACTTTTGAATGGTAGTGTACATACATATATATACATATCCTTTAAAAATATATATTTCCCTTTATTACTTTCCAACAGCGAGATAAGTGTTAGCATAGTTGTATTCTGAAGAAGGAAGTAAAACGCTGCAATGCACTATTGACAGGAAGTCCATCCTACTGTGGAAATACAGCCTGCATCCTAAATGGCTCCTTATTCCCTATATAGTGCACTACTTTTGAACCAGGGTCAACACTAGTGCACTATGTAGGGAATAGGGTGCTATTTAGGACGCAGTTGCAGTACAACCCCAGCACAGTATAATGACCATTACTCCCACATCCTCCCTGTGTTTCATCACCATTAATAACCATCAATAGACAGTATGATGATGTCTGGTCTGGGAGTTTAGCGCATTGCGTCTGTGAACTAGGAAGTGACTGGGTCGATGTCCATGTTGGGGCGAGGAGGGGACCCTACAGACTCCAACACTGCTGTGAGTGTGCAACTATGGTCCCGCTGTCAGTCTAGTGTTCTCTCCTTAGACTTGTCTCTGTTATTGTCTCTCTCCTTCTCAATCTATCTTCATGCATTGGCACTGTATGGGTACCTGCTGTTGCTGTAGGAGTCGGCAATTAGCAAAGCCTCTTCCAACTTCAGGTGGTCCACCAATATGCAGCTAGGAGGGTTTCAATTGATCTGGGTCTCTGCAGTGTTGCCATTGAATCGGAGAGGATCTTATCTGTCCAATTTGTGAGTCACTCCAGTCAATCAGTTTCCACTTGTCTTGTTTTAAAGCATTATGTAACCTAGCTACAGTACACTGAATCTGCTCTCACTATGTAACCTAGCTACAGTACAATGAATCTGCTCTCACTATGTAACCTAGCTACAGTACACTGAATCTGCTCTCACTATGTAACTTAGCTACAGTACACTGAATCTGCTCTCACTATGTAACCTAGCTACAGTACACTGAATCTGCTCTCACTATGTAACCTAGCTACAGTACACTGAATCTGCTCTCACTATGTAACCTAGCTACAGTACACTGAATCTGCTCTCACTATGTAACCTAGCTACAGTACACTGAATCTGCTCTCACTATGTAACCTAGCTACAGTACACTGAATCTGCTTTGCCCCTTTCCTTCATCGTTCAGCTTCAACATTATTTTTGATCGCTGATGATCACTTGTGATTTCATTCATAGGGATGAGATGAGTACACAGCCATGCCTACATTTTACTGGGAGTAATATCATCTCACTAATGGCTTGTTTAGCTAGAATTTCATGCTCCTCTCCCTCAAAATATGGATTTTCCAAATTTCTCAATTATGGGTCTAATTTCCCAATTGTGCATGCTGCTGTATTTGGGGAATACGAGCTGGGCCACTGTTACATAAAGACACACTGCTTATTGCTGTGTTATCCTGCGTCGAGCTCTGTGATCCAGGAATGATGCGATTCCCTGTCCACGTGTGTGACACATCTTACCGGTACCGGCATCTTATGAAAACGAAGTGTTTAATTTCACTAGCTGTGCTGCACTGCATGCGGCAGAATAAGCAATGGGACTGTTGTTCAGTGTTAGGGGCCATTATGTGTCATTATGCGTATGTCTCTCTCTCTCTTCCCATCCATCGGTCCGTGTCTGCCTCTCCTCTCCTCTGACCGAATCCCTAGGGGCCCGCCAAGGACCTCCTCTCATCAATCCACCCCTCCTTCCTCTCTACCTCCAGATCCCCCCATCAGCCCGCAGCACATGGATTGATCATTCCTTTTGTCTCCATCCTCCTCTTCTCTCTCCATTCTCTCGTCTCCCTGTCTCTCCTGACAAATGCCCCCACTCTCATTCTTTCCCTCTGCCTCTCTCTCTCTCTCTCTCTCTCCTCTCTCTCTCTCTCTCTCTCTCTCTGTCTGTCTCTCTTTCTCTCTATAGAGACTGTGGAAATGACTGAGAATTGATTTTCTCTGCGACTCGAGCACAGCCAGCTATTAAGCAGGAACAGGATCTCTCATTAACATGAAACCTGAGGAAGTTAATGTTGTGCGTGCCCAGGGTGAGGAGGCATATGCAGAGGATCTGCTTTCTCTGATTGGAGAACAGAGATGGGGTGTGTGTGTGGGGCTGTGGGGATGACTGTGTTGGGCGAGGTTCTGTCACTACAGTAAGTGTAATGTGTGTGTGTGTGTGT